ATAGATTTCATAGACATTAGGCTGGAACAGACCTCAGAAAATCATCGAGTCCAGTCCCCTGCCCCAGGAGCAGGAAGTCAGCTAGGGTCAAAGGATCCCAGCAAGATAAGCGTCCAAACGTTTCTTAAGAGTCCAGAGTAGGTGCTTGCACCACCTCTGCAGGGAGTCTATTCCAGGCCTTGGGGCCTCAGACAGTAAAGAAGTTTTTCCTTATGTCCAGCCTAAAACAGTCTTGGAGGAGTTTGTGGCCATTGGACCTTGTCATCCCATGGAGCGCTCTGGTGAACAGGCACTCCCCCAGATCCTGATGCACACCCTTTATATACTTATAGGCTGCCACCAGGTCACCCCTAAGCCTACGCTTTTCCAGGATGAAGAGTCCCATGGCTCTCAGCCTCTCTTCATAAAGCCTGTTTCACTTGCCCTCTGATCATGTGCATGGCTCTCCTCTGGACTCTCTCAAGCTTCTCCACATCCTTCTTGAATTGTAGAGCCCAGAATTGGATGCAGTACTCCAGCTGCGGCCTCACCAAGGCTGAGTACAGCAGGAGGATGACATCCTGAGATGTGCTTGAGAAGCAGCTCTGGATGCAAGCCAGGGTTTTGTTCGCTTTACCAGCTGCAACATCGCATTGGTGGCTCATGTTCATCTTGTGGTCAATCCTGACCCCCAAGTCCCTTTCGGCCGTGGTGCTAGCAAACATAGCACTGCTGATCCTATAAGCGTGATGCAGGTTTTTCTTCCTCTGAGGTGGAGTACCTTGCATTTTTCTGTATTGAATGTCATCAGGATTTTATCCACCCACTTTCTAAGCCTATCAAGGTCAGCCAGGATCACCAGTCTATCCTCACGTGTGGACACTCTACCCCGAAGTTTGGTTTGGTTCATCGGCGAACTTGGCTAGTCTGCCTCTGACACCAGTGTCTGCATCTTTAATAAAGACATTAAAGAGTACAGGTCCAAGAATGGAGCCTTGGGAGACACCACCGGTCATGAAGCGTTATGAGGATTCACTTCCATCGACTACTACTCTCTGGGTCCAACCTCAGAGCCAGAGAGTGGTTGGTAGTCGACAGAAGTGAATCATACATTCATACACACAACAATCATACACACAAGATGCTTAGTGTATAATATTCTATCTGCCAGTTGGAGGCAACATAGCTGAGGCCACAGCACAAGTGGGCTAAATGGCTAATTGGCACTATCACTCAGCAGGGCTAATTAGTCCACCCTGATTCCCCTCAGAAGAAAAACAGTACTACAAGTTACAGTAAATTTTATATCTATTGCTGTAAGTCTGTGGTCTAAACATGGTCAAAATTAACTAGGTGTCATCCAAGTCTGTCATCATTTAGAATGCCCAATTTAGATGCCAGGTATAGGAATGATTCCTCTGAGCCTCAAAAAATAAGTTTTTAATGATGTTCATGAGTAATGTAGGTAATGTGCTAGGTAATGTAGGTCTTGTGCTAACGAAAGCATGTACAGGATCTCTCTTGAAATAGAAAGGCCAAGTTCTGTCCTGCCCAATGAGATTTGCATATATTTATTTTTATCTGAAGGTAAATATTTACTCTGAATGAAGAGTTATAGCAAATGGAAGGGCTATATTATGTACAGTATTGTTATACACATTACTTAGTTTTGACTGTGATCATTTGCATGTATTAAGATATCATTAACCTAAAGAGGGGTCGGCCAGATCCAGACCATGGGGCTCCTTGCAGAATGGATCTAGTGGACTGGTCCAGAGGTAAAACAAGGCTTCAGCCCGGTGTTCTGCAGCAAGCCATGCCCTCCAACTTCCAATAATCCACTGGCAACCTAGCAGGACACAGAGAGAGAGAGAGAAAGAGAGAGAGACTCTGCGGGCTGTATCAAGCTGTTGGGCTTTATGTTAACACCCCTGCCTTAATTCCTGTTAATGGCTTACTTTGCAATTACAGAACCTGTAGAAAAATTAGAGGACATCATTAAAAGAAATAACAGATCTGGCAGATTAACAAAAAAATGTAATGCCTGGTTACACAGGGATGAGTTTGGATTTGATCCTGAGTTGAAGCTTGAGCTGCTGCACTAGTAACAGCGGAAAAACTGGAAAATGCACTACACAAAGCTCCCAAAGAAACCATGTGAGAGGAGAGAGTGACAGACTCCCAAGTTTTAAAGCAGTGGAAGCTACCCTTTTTGGCAGCTAAGCCCCAAGTAAACCCCACACTTTTCCCAAGTGCCATTCTGATCCCCTTCCCCTGCCCAATCAGCTGCATTGTTTCCTACTTCCTGCCCTCTGCTCAAATCTGCCACTCTGCTTTCTTCTCCCTGCCCTAATCTGCCTATCCAATCTCCGGCCTGCCATGTGCCACACACAGGGGCTACCCATGCCACTACACATGCATGCCACAGGCTGGCCACCACTGTCTTAAACGAAGCCAAGACCAAACTTTTTCACAAGAGGAACAGTTCCTGCAACACGGGACCTCTGATGGGTAGGACTTTCAAAAGGTACCTAAGAAAGTTGAGGACCAAACTGAAAGTTGAAGGGAAATGAGGCACTTTTAAAACTCTCATACTTTGTAATGGATACAGAAAAGCTGTAGATAAACAAAACAGAAAGGAGGGAAATGGGAAATTAAAGGGAGATAATTCCTATGTGCAAAAAAATAAAACAGAAAAAAAATTAATAAGAAGCATGTTGTTATATTCTTCTAGGAAAGAGATAAAAGTTCTCAGAAGTGAAACTTCCTTTTTTGAAGTCTTACTGCACTGTTGAGTTAGCAACCTTACTAGTATGGGGTTTCAGAAGGAAGACAACTTTTTCTGAACTTGCATTAATGGAACCGTCACAGCACCCACAGTAGATTGATAATTATGTTACCTTTATTTTTCCATTTGATATTACATGCATTTTACGTACTAGTTTGTATTATTTATGTGAACAAGTAACCACCTCCATCAAATCACTTGCATCTATTGCTGTTGTGATGAAACTCAGCAGTATGCACGGGATAGGAGTTCAAAGTCATGGTTTTATCCATGAGAAACCTTGGATTTATCTGTATGACAAACATGATCTGTAAAATGACTTTCATACATACGGTTAATTTTGGTTTTATGCAGACATTGCATAGTTCATTATTAGTTTCTAGTGAAAGACCGGAGATGTATGTGGTGTCACTGGCCTTGAAGTAGATCAAGTGACAGTGGCAAACAGGAAGATTTGAAGAAGAGGCATAACCTTCAGGGTCGAAAGGTCAGCAAGTACAGCCTGGAGTAAAGAACAAAAAAGGTTTGTTAAACTTGACACCTGAATCACATTTCTCTTATGGAGTTTCTAAGAAATCAGAAAAAGTTGCACCAAACTTGCAAAGAATGATACTGACAGTAATTAGCTTTTTCAGATTTGCCTAAAAACATGCTAATTTATATCAGTCTGTAGAGATTCCTTTTTGTCAGATTTTTCAGTCTAACATTTCAATAAAAATGACCATAAGTATAGGCAGAGAATAAACCGTAACTTTATTTTAGTTGTTAGACTTACTTCAAATATATGTGGTATCATGGGTATATAAGACATCTAACATTTCAACTTGCTTCTAAAAATAATTGCACATTATGAATCCTTATCCTGTGTCTTGAGTTGTACTTGTGAAGCAAGTCTATGACTTTAATGATGACTTAAAGTGAGTCATCCTCTTCTGATTGGAGTTTGCTTTTAAGAATTAACTTGGTCATTAACAAAAACTTTCTATAAGATAAACAACATGATTTGTATTGGCTTTTTTTTTTGAAAAAGGAAAAAATATTTTTAACAAAATACTAGTTAGTACAAATAACAAGTTTCATTCTAATGGGTTTTCACATATACAACATGATGACACATACAAAGATGAAATTTCTATGTCAATATTTGATAAAAAAACAACCTTTTAAAAGCCATGTAATATCAAAAAGGCATAGAAGCAGCTACCCTTTTAATTTTTTTTAAAAAGATGACTGTATCATTTTTAAAGTATATTTTAATACAATCGGGGATATGAATATAAAACAGATAAAAGTAGGTGGGTAATTCACATCTGACCAAATAACTCAGCTATACTATATTACTGATAACAAAGATAATATTTTGCATGTTCCAGAAAAGGAATTTTACTCAATTTCCTTTCCATTTTTCCTGAACATATGAATTGAAGCATAAAGCTGCGCATTGCATAGCACATCCATCTGAAGCTTAAATTACTGCAGCTGGCAACACATCAGAAACTATTTCAATCTCCTGTAAGTGAAACATATCCTTACTTCAGCTGCAGCCAGTGATGTCACCTCCATCAGGTTCACTGCTCGGAAAGCAAACACAGCAGCTGCCAGGACTGAAAAAGAATGCATGACGTATAAAGTAATGACCTACTAATTAGTTGTTGGAATTAATTCAGGATCTAAAGCATTAACTTTCTTTTTGCAGTCATTATATTGTTTTTGAAGCATAATACAAAATGTATTCTAGCATTCTAATTCTTGTCATTTGGCTACTCTTTCCTAAAAGATCCATAAGGATGTAACTATATTCCTTGGACAAGTAGAATAAATCTGCATTTGAGATTAAGGATATGGACTAATATGGATAGTGTCCTGCAATGGTTTCGCCATATACTTAAATTGGAATAAAATAGTGTTCACTCAGGTGCTAAGAGATGAGTGTAAAGACACACTGACTTAAATCAGGGCTGTCCAATTTGTAAGGGTGTTGCAAACCACAGGGGCTGCACCAGTGTGGGCCAGGTGCCCCTGGGGCCACATGCTGCTTGGGTGCACTGCCCCCCTCTACGGGCACTCCCCGCCTCTCCCCGCTATTCTGCACAGTGCTTCGTGTGGATATTACCCCCTTCCCAACTGTGCTGCACTGAACTATGCAGAGACACTCCCCGCACTGTGCTGCACCGAACCGTGCCATGTGTGAGTACTCCCTCTCTGCACAATGCTGCCTGCCTGGGCTTCTGATCCCCTCCCAGTTCCCTGAACTGCAGCTGCACTGCCATGGCCTGCACCACCTGGGGGGCAGAGTGGGGAGACAGAAAGCGAAGTGGAAGGGAGCCTGGAGCTCTCAGTTGCTTCTGTGGCTAGTGCAACAGGGAAGCAGCATCAGTGTGGGAGCCCAGGGGCCTCAAATTAACCCCTTCGGTTGCATGCAGCCCATGGGCCAGGAGTTGGATAACTGTGACTTAGATTATGACAAAATGAGTCACTCATCAGGGGAGATCAACAGCAAATAGGTAGAGCCCTATTCTTCCCAGCACCACCTGGGGTGATAAGGAACAATGGTAATAAGCTGATGGAGAATAGGTTTAGGTTAGAGATCAGAAGGCAATACAGTTAGGGTGGCCAAAATCTGGAACCAACTTCCCAGGTAAGTGGTCTTCGCCCCTACCTTGGGCAAATTCAAGAGGAGGTTGAAATCCCCTGTCTGGGGTCTTGTGAACCCAGCATCCATTCCTGCCTGTGACAGGGGGTCAGGCTAGATGATCTGTTCAGGTCCCTCCTGACCCTAGCTACTATGATACTATGATGAAAGGCTGGAGAAATGTGATTGCTCTCTATAAATACACTAGTAAACATTAGGGAGGGAAAAAACCTAGTTAAACTAAGGACAATTTTAACAAAAGAGGAAATTTCTAAACATAAGCGGTTCTGAAACAGCTTTCAAAGAACAGTAGGGGCAAAACCTAATTAGTTTCAAGAGTAAGCTTCATAAGTTTATGAAAAATTACACAATGTAGCTGCCTGCGCTAGTAAAGGACTAGAAATGACAACACAGGAGGTCCCTTCCAGTCCTATGTATATTAGTAGGCTTTAAGACAGGGGTGGGCAATTATTTGGGCCCGGGGGCCACACAGAGTTTTGATCAGTTGTCTCAGGCCAGGTCAGCCCCCACCCCTCCAATCCCCATAACATCTCACCAAAACTCCCAATGTCAGAGGGGCCCTTGGGCAGGCAAGAAGCAGTGTTCACAAGCGAAGGCTGGCAACGCCAGGATCTCAGGGAGGGTTGTGGGGTTTCCCCTGTACTGTGGGGGGCATGTGTGCATGGGTGGGGGCCTGCCAGGGTGATAGGTCCTGGTAAATGGCTGAGCATGAAGAGAGGGATCAGGCAGCAGCAGGGCAGGCGCTATAAAGAGAGGCTACAGGACCTGAACCTGTTCAGCCTCCACAAGAGAAGGCTGAGAGGGGATCTGGTGGCTGTCTATAAACTGGCCAAGGGGGACCAGCAGGCAATGGGAGAGTCCCTGTTCCCCCAAGCACTACCGGGAGTAACGAGGAATAACGGCCATAAGTTGACTGAGAGTAGATTTAGGCTAGATACCAGGAGGCACTACTTCACAGCCAGGGTGGCTAGGAGCTGGAACCAACTTCCAAGGGAAGTGGTGCTCACTCCTACCCTGGGGGTCTTCAAAAGGAGGCTAGATAATCACGTAACTGGGGTCAATTGACCCCACCATTCATTCCTGCCCATGGCAGGGGGTCGGACTTGATGATCTACTCAGGTCCCTTCCGACCCTACCAACTATGAAACTATGAGAACTTTCAGAAGGTCACATACCTCAAACTCTACAGTGAGTCAACCCCACAACTGTGTAGGTAGATAAATAACATAAGAAACCCTTTGACAATCCAAAATCTGCTCCAAGTGAGAACTTCAGTGCTATAAGGATGTGGCCACCAACTGCATTCCTTCTCCCTGCCTCCCTGGAGTGCTTCAATAGTGCCACAATGTCATGCAACGGCAATGCTCCCCAGCCAGGGTGTATGATGAGGGGTTGCTTGGTTCTCCAGCACCCTCAATGCTATGCCCTATCCCCATGCCCCCAAGGGTGGGTAGCCAGTGAACACTTTTCTGTGTGCCTGGCTATCCTCAGGGACCTAAGGAGGGCAAGAGACCTGCAAGGAAACTTCTCTCTAGCCCCCTTGCTGAAGAGCTGGAGTCCCTGCATGAGTCTTGGCCTCCAGTCTCTGAAAGAGATAAAAGAGAGCAGAACCCTGTTCAACCAGGGGGCTGTAAAGATAGATTCCTTGTATGTCTCTTGGTTTCTGAAGGGCCTCAAAGAGAGCTAGGCATACAGGAACACCCATTGACTCTGCCCTGGTCTAGGCCCTCTTCCCTCACAGCTGGGTGGAACAGAACAGAGGTGATGCTAAAGGGCTAAGCAACCCCCCTCTCCCCATCCCCCACAACTGTGCTCCATGGAGTATACATACATTTCAGGAGGCACTTTAAAAAGAAGTGTTTTAAAGCTGCTCCACAGTTTTTTGAGGATCACTTCTGAAGCAATTATTTGGCCATGAACATCCAAACACTTGCTGTTTGGAGCACTTCCAAGCATAGACCACTTCAATGGTTGCATCTGTGTAGGGCACCCATTTGGTGTGGGCAAATCTACTTACTGTTCATGTTGCCACGAATTAATTGAGCAGAGCCAATTAGATGCTCATCTCACAGTTCCTTCCACATTTGGACCCCCAGGGTACTGACAGTTATGTATGTACAGGTTCCCCAACCATATCTGGGCAATTGATGGACCACATTTCAATGCTTTAACCTTCTATCAATGGAAAAAACCCTTTTTCCCTGTGTGCTGGAGGCACTATAGACAACTGTGGGAGGCCAACACAAGTCAGTGCTGGAGGATAAGGTAACTAGCATGCAAGAGCTATCTACAACTCTACCTTGTTTTTTTGATAAGACAATGATCGCTCAATTGGAAACATAAGCACCATTTCCCCACACAGATATCAAAGGTATCATCATCCTCCCACTAATATGCAGAGGCCCTGCCTATGTGTTGCTGCCCTGGATCAAGAAATTGTGTGCTGATAATCTACATCACAGGACAGAACTGTTTAACTACTAGCTAAGTAGCTTCAGGACAACACCAGAACTCATTTTGAACTGCTCAAAGTCAGGTACACATGCGTGTGTATGGTGGGGTGTACTTGTAGGACTAACCCTATGAACACGAACACACGCACACACACAGAGGCACACTGCCTGTGCCTGCACGCGCGCACACACACACACTCCCCGTGCCTCTACACACATACACAAGCACACTGTCCGTGCCTGCACACTCACACACACACCCTCCCAAACTGCCCATGCCTGCACGCACACACCCACACACTGCCCGTGCCTGCGCGCGCGCGCGCACACTGCCCGTGCCTGCACACGTACGTGCACACACACACACACACACACACACACACACTGCCTGTGCCTGCACGTGCGCGCACACACACACTGCCTGTGCCTGCACGTGCGCAATCACACACACTGCCTGTGCCTGCACGTGCGCAATCACACACACACTGCCTGTGACTGCACGCAAACACACACACACACACACACACACACACACACACACACACACACAAACACACAGTCTGTGCCTGCGCACGGGCGCGCACACACTACCCGTGCCTTTGCGTGCGCACAGCCCATGCCTGCACGCATGCATACACACACACAGCCCGTGCCTGCGCGCGCGCACACACACACACACACACAGCCCGTGCCTACACGCGTGCACACACACACTACCCATGCCTGCGCGTGCACACACACACACGCTGCCGGTGCCTGGACGCGCATGCGCACACACGCTGCCGGTGCCTGTGCGCGCGCACACACACACGCTGCCCATGGCTACACGCACACGCTGCCTGTCCCTACGTGTACACACACGAAGACTGCCCATGCCTCCACACGCACGCACACACACTGCCCATGCCTGCATGCAGGCAAACACACACACACACACACACACAGTGCCCGTGCCTGCACGCATGTGCACACACACACACACACACACACACACAGTTCCCGTGCCTGCGCGCGCACACTCACACAGTCCCCATGCCTGCGCACACGCACACTCACACAGTTCCCGGGCCTGCGAGCGCACGTGCACACAATTTCCGTGCCTGCGCGCACGCGCACACACAGAATTCCCATGCCTACGCACGCATATGTGCACACACACACACACTTCCCGCGCGCGCAGGCACACACACAGTTCCTGTGCCTGCGCACGCACGCGCACACACACACACACAGTTCCCGTGCCTGGGCGCGCACACTCACACAGTTCCCGTGCCTGCTCACGCGCACACTTACACAGTTCCTGTGCCTGCGCGCGCGCGCGCGAGCACACACACACAATTCCCGTGCCTGCATGCACATGCACACACACACACACACACACACACACACACACACACACACACACAGAGTTCCCGTGCCTGCGCGCACGCGCACACACATTTCCATGCCTGCGCGCGCGCGCACCCACACAGTTCCCGTGCCTGCGCGCGCGCGCACCCACACACACACACACACACACACACACTTCCCGTGCCTGCGCACGCACACGCACACACACACACTTTCCGTGCCTGCGCGCGCACACACACACAGTTCCCATGCCTGCGCGCACGAGCGCGCACACACACTCACACACACAGTTCCCGTGCCTGTGCGCACACACGCACACACACACAGTTCCCGTGCCTTCGCGCGCGCGCACACTGACACACTTCCTATACCTGCACGCACGCGTGTGCACACACACACACAAAATGCCTGTGCACGCACGCACACACTGCCTGTGCCTGCACACGCACGCGCGTGCACACACACACACACACACAGAGTTCCCGTGCCTGTGCGCGCGCACACTGACAGTTCCCGTGCC